GGGTGACATAAGGGGCTGGGGGCTGGGGGGTCAACATTCAACAATTTACCCGTCTGGGAAGACACTGGCCGCTGAGACAGACGAGCAGAGCAGGGAAGTTGGAAGAGCCAGGGCGTCAAACACATGTCATTTTCCTCACCCTAGTTGGCTTACTACTTGACGGACTGACGGACGATCGGACGGACGGACGATCGGACGGACGGACGAACGAACGAACGAACGAACAAACAAACAAACGAAAAGACATACGGACGAACGGACGAATAAACAAACGAACAAAAAGACAGACGGACGGACGGACGAACGAACGAACAAACGAACGAAAAGACAGACGGGCGAGTAGACAGACAGACAGACAGACAGACAGACAGACAGACAGACAGACAGACAGACAGACAGACAGACACACAGACACACAGACACACAGACAGACAGACAGACATTTGGTACATAATACATAATTTTATTCATTTGATACAGTCGGGGCAAGTCAGGGTTTTTAAAAAGCTGCCATTTTGGCACAGTTTGATCAAATTCTCCAAAATCAAAACATGCTTTATTTTGAAGGATTTGATAATCAAACATTATTTGTTTTTGAAGGATTTGATCAAACTCTGTAAAAAAAAAAAAAATCAGCCTTGCTCCCTTCGCTGGCTGGGCGGAAACCCTAGCCGGTCCCAACTGCATCAAATGAATCAGGTGTATTAAATGGGCAATGTGCACTTGGTTTAACAACTGACACCATCCAGCAAGTCATTAAGCAACAGCTGTACCGTAATTGTGTGTACGTCCATGATTCAACACAGGACGAGGAAGTTCTCACCGAGGTTCGGTCGTCACTCTCCACTAAGCGATGCTCATGTCATCCGGAACTGCGCTCAGATGTGTCCTTACCATAAGTACAGTCGTATTAATTAGTGTATTATGTATCATGTATATTTGTACGCATGCATATGTACGTACACACGCATATGTATACACACGCATATAAATGAGCATACATAAACACACATACATACACACAAACACACACATGCACACACATACATATTATACACACACGCAAAAACACACACACACGCACATTCACACATATACATACACTATACTCATATTATACACACACAAACACACACACACATACACACACATTCACACACATACATACATACATATACACACAAACATA